TAGGGGTGTGAGCTGGGTTGGGCTGGTGACAAATGTGATAAACGTGAGTAGTAAATGCCAGCAATTTCAACTTTGTATTACATATTTCGCTACAGTTTAAATTGCTGAACGGCGCAAGTCATATCTGGTTCAACCATTGGAATTAATGGTGTACAGAAATGTACGGATGTGTACTGGGATGGACCGGACACATGTGTGGAAGACGTGAGTGACAAGTAAATACTACCTTTCTTACCCATTTATTAATTATTTAAGAACATTTACATTTGTTGAAAAATTGATTTGATTCTGTGCTCCGTATTTGATAGCTGAACATAAATAGATGAAATAGAGAAATTCAGTGAAAACGAATACCCATGTTGGACTATCAGTCGAAACAAAGTCCGTCCGAAAAATAGTTCTGCAAAAATAGGAATGGATGACTGATAATCAGTGATGACACCAGGTGTTCTTGAAACGGGTAAGAATGTCCAGTCCAACCGACTGTTTTGCCTGACACCACACAGCAATGTTCCTACCATGCCACGGTGGTCTGTCAACAAACCGGACAATCAAGTGATTGATGACCCGGAAGTACCAATCAGATGGTTTTGAATTACGACTGTTGTGAAGATATACACAGCTTCCAATGTTCTCATGTTAGGGAAAAAACGTTTGAGAAATAGATTTGTTTTACAAAGCATTAGATAGGTTTATGTTATGTTTAGGTGTCTCGTAGTTCAGACATCTGACAACTGTTCAGTTATTGAAGGTAAAGCCCCAGAGAATGTATATGTGTCCAACCTTTCGCCATGTCCCTGGTCAAGGACTGGGTGGGATGAACACAAAACATGAAGATAAAACGGACGTCCATATCAATTGTGAGAAATACAAATGACAGTCTTCAAGTCTATTATTATTGGATTTTAAATACATACATTATGAAATGGTACTTGAAATTGTACTTGATGCTCCAAACTATGGTCCACATTTATACCGAGACTTACGTTTATTTTCCAGGCATAGACAAACCTGAAGGTAAGAATATGTTTTATCCAACTCAAGTTTTATTAATTCTCTAGATTCAATACGATCAGTTCACAGCAAGTTCTTTTCTACAGTTATTGGTAAATACGTGTATAAAGATACATTCTAGACGAATAACTTTGCATGCTCAAATATGAACATGACAAGATGCATATATGCTTAGTGAAATCACGACAGGAGAAACATATTTTAAGGGTTAACATTTCGAATGAAAGTGGTCCACATGATCTGCTTAAAACTAGAAACATACTTACTGATAATAGACGTGAATTTTCATGTAATTTACTGGCAAATAAGTCATCATAATGTCCACGGCGAGGCCACGTGTGGGTCAGTTCTCCTAAACCTGGAACGTTTGATCGGCGACTGGAGCCCGTCTTTGGCTCGATTAGATGTTTAGCTCTGTGAGCTCAACGCCCGTGCTGATGGTTTCCACCGAAGTGGTAACCCGCTCAGACGTGCTTTATCTCGGGCTTCCCTCCGACAATAAACAGACACGCGGTAATGTAACAGAGACGACAAACCGAAATCACTCACTCATGAAAGTACTGTGATATCCTGATTTGTCATGGTGAGGTATTACATTGCATGTTTTCATTGTGTGGTTGCAGTGTCCTTCTACTGTATGAAAGAACGGGAAGGCTATTCTTTGAACCTTATCTTGGACCAGAAAGGCATCCGTTTCTCGAACTTCGGAGCCGTGAATGCTGAAGGGGAGATCAGTCCCAGATGTGACAAAAGAAAGTTTAGCTATCGTGGTTTACATGTACAGATTCGGAACGTGTCGGGAGTTTGGGAATCGGATTGTCCTGTAGAAACAGTAAGAACGTAGTGTAAAGCACATACAGTGCACTATGGTTATAATGTCCCTGGTCATAATGCCAAACTGGATATAATGCCTTTCGCAAAAGGTATTTGGAACAAAGGCCAATATATAATGCCAATTACACTGGCTGCAGGTAGTATACATACCTTAATTGGTTAATTGACATGACTCAAATTAATTGACCAAACTCATTAATGTTGTAATCCCTGATTGGATAACACATGTGGCAATACACTTCCTGACACCTACAAGAACAAGTCACCTGCAGTTCCTAGATGCTGGAATTATCCAGTCATTTAATGTTCATTACAGGAGACATCAGCTCACTCACTTTGTTGATTGCATAGGGCCACTAGCAGTCTCACCTGCCTATTATGCCACCCAGGATATAATGCCATATTTTCTCCTGGACAAACGGTGGCATTATATCCAGGGTATACTGTACCTTCAAATCAGGTGTGTGCGTGCGTGCGTGCGTGTGTGTGTGTCTCCAAATGAGCTAACTCTAACGCCCATATTATTCTGCTGCTCGATCAATGAAAAAAACCATAAACTGAAAAGGCAAGAGGAAAACTCTGAAGGCGTATTTTCATTGTGGTTATTTTTGTGTTCATACAACACAAGGTTGGAACGGGTATACTGAAATGGACCTTCAGACATCAGAAGAAAAGTGGCGTGGTGTGGTTTGAAGATGACGAAGTTCAACTCGTGTGTGATCTGTCGCAAGTTGATGACATTGGCAGAGTAGGGGTGGAGGAGTATGTATTTTTTGTAACTGCCAAGTGCGTAGAGAAAATGTGTCTGAAGATATATAATTATGTTCCACTTTGTTTCCGTACGATCCCACTTATGTGAGTGGCCCCCCGTGTGTTTGCTGAATGCTTTTTGTTGGGATTTCTTGTGTTTTTGTTGTTGTTGTTAATGTTTGATTTTGTGGAGAGAAGGTGTTATATCATAGTCCATACGAAATAAACCAATTTGAATGCGTGGGGTACATAGTGTTATAGTGAATGAAGCTTTGATTCAGCTTACATGTTTCAGGATTCGAGAGCGGACCGTTACAGCTGCCACACAGACTAGGGTCGGTCTCCGGACATAACATTGTTATTCCAAGGCTTAACTCGTTTCATGTTATGAAGGAGTGCTATCTGCCCTAACTGCTAACTGTTGCTGTTAATACGACCAGAAAGATATAGTCTATGGCTGCAGTGAGGTGAATACCAATAACGACCATTATTCGCTGACCTTTCGGATAGATGTACCTAGCTGCCATAAGACCTGCCCTCAGTCACTGTTGACAATATGGTTGTGGTATTCAACCTGGTTAGTAGATAAAAACTCAACCAGGGAAAGATATCCAAAGGCAGGACAGGTTCAGAGAGATTTGGAAAACACACCTATGAACTTGAAGACACGCGTCGTCTTTCTCCATATTTTAGAATATCTTCTTGTTCCAGGGGATGACATCGTCAATCCGTTCTTTCAGCCTCGGAGCTGTCAAGCTGCATCTCCAGATGGAAATGTCACTGTACAACTGACTGACGACTAAGGGTAGGTATGCAGTCTCCCGTTTCCAAACTCACTACTACACGGTCATGTTTGACCATATGTTGATAATGAAACGTAATCTGGAACTCTGCGGCTATTCTCCTCGTCGTCTATGTAAACTAGGGGTGTGAATATAAGCATCCAGCAAAACAGACCTAATAAATAAGCATATTGGTTTCGAGCATTAAAAAATATTTCCAGAATCTGAGATTTGACATCCATTTCACCTTTCCATTTTGAGTGCCCCTATTCTTAAGCAGTCTGATCATTGTACACATCATCTCCACAGACTGAAGAAACTGATATCTGGGACATATATATTTCCCTCAATGTATGGGGCGGTGTGGTCAAAGCGTTCGCTGGTCACGCCGAAGAGCCGGGTTCACTTCCCCACATGGGTATGTGACGCCCATTTCTGATGCTCCCCGCTGTGATAATACTGGAATATTCCCAAACACTGCATCCTTCTGCGTTACCCAGAGTATCAGAAGGGCTGTGCTCCTGGTAGCACCACCGGATACTCTCTTAATGTCAGTCAAGAGCTCAGGGAGGTTATAAAACAACCTAAGGCACCAGGAATGATGGAGAGACGAGTTGGTACTTGGATGCAAACGTATATTGTTGTAAGTCAGTTCTTGATATTAGCCATGCTTTTCCTGAAATATGATCAGTCACATTACTAATTAGGCGTGGATTAAATTCTGGCTTCCATTAGTTTTCCTTTCCCTTTTTAAAGGCCACCATTGTTACCTCATCATTCATGCCTGGATTATCAATGCCTGGCTTCCTCTTGTCCACCTTATCAGTTTAGTGCTAATTAACTGCTGGCTTCCCTTGTTATCTTATCACCGTTGTTATTTCACATAGAGCTGTCTGTTTCCCAGTCTTTCATTCACCTCATGAGGGAGTAAGAATATATTCCGGAACGTCTTGTCCATGAAAATATAGAAAATGACATCCATTAATTCTAGCTTTTAATCACATTACTGTCAAATGATAAATAATTCCATTGTTTTTATCAAAACGTAAAAGATCAGGTTTGTTGCCTTGGATACGTCTGTTGCTCCATACGGGCCTATTTGAAATACATTTTGTAGTTTTCATTTCCTATGATGCCCTCTACATCATCTGGGTCAAAACCGCAAGCATGACGAAGATGGTATTAGAAAGACCGAAAGACGCCATCAAGACCATTAAGGTACGTTTGGGTGGTAGTGTTGAGCTGCTATAAGCAACTATACAGAAATGTTACAGCAAGAGTTACTCAGTTTGCTTTGAACACATTTGATGTACGTGTATAGAACATAGAGTTTAAAACGCATGTAGGTATAGGTACAGTTTAGATATTGTGTATGCAGAACATAGATTACCCAAAAGGCTTATAACATGCTTGCCGATTAAATTAAAATATACGATTATCATATTGCTATTATCATAGGGAAGAAAATAAAAAGCGCACCTTTTGTTGTAGGGGATTATCTCGCTCCAGTGAACTGGGACCCTAAAACAAAAGGTGCTGGATAAATGAGAATGACCCTCAAAGAGTAACTTGAAGTAGAGACAATAGGAACCGTCCCATGTACAGAGGCACACTGTTTATTCCAAGTGAACTTTATTTGTCATTAAGATGTGAAGAGAAAATTTGCGGCGCTTTTACTTCTGCTGTGTCATCTTGACGGTGACATCGGAACTCGATGCCTTTGATGGGATGTTTTCATCTGCAATAAATACATTTGATGATAGAATACCAAAAATGTAAAATAATGTACATATTTCTAACACCTTAGACATATCAAGATTGTGATGAAAGGTGTTTAGTGCTATTCAGTGAATCTCGCCTTCCCCAGTCTTCGAACCATCGAGCACTGATTGTCCTCACTTTCCACGGTCATTTCATATTGTCTGATCGTAGTTGATGTTTCATTATACACCCTTCCCTGGTGATAAGACTTCCTGCCTGGCAAACTTGCTGGAATTCATTACGGAAACTTCCTTGACTGATATTGCTTAACACATTCTCCTGTGTTATGAGATCCTATGATAATGTGATTGTATGACTGTCAGAATGTCAGAAACCCTTCCACACTCGTAATGTTCAGCGTGATATTATCAGCATCAGCTTACATATTACCGAACTCAAGTGTGCAATAATTGGTTTGTATGTTCTCATGCTACACGCACCTTTGCAGCTGAACTTTCAATGTATGTTTGCTACCAGGAACAATTCTGTGAAATAAAGAAATCATGTAAATAACTCGTGACCTCTCTATTAAATACTACACATACACACGCGCACATGCACGCACAACCACACTAGAACCAGTCTGATACCATCCCAAGGACACACACACGCACACACACAAACTTAAAGAATGAACACCATGTTTTGGATGCATTATACCTTTTAGCGGTGAACTCGGTACCACAATGTGAAGTGTGGGTGATCTAGGCAGTTGTGTTAGTGTGTGTACCGCTCACACTATCTCTGTAATGAGGGTAAATACACTCCACCACATTGATATTTACCATATATCTAGTGAACGGAAACACTTAGCGGAAGTCTCATTAACAGGCCACACAAAGAGCATATTTCCCCATCAGCAAGGATGACGTTTCTTGGTGTGTGGCATGGTGCCTGTTCTCACGTTCATCATCCACCGGTTTGCATTTCCCATAAAGGTAATTACCAGTTTCGGTGATTATTATTTTTATTACTATTGGATACCTATATAGCGCACATATCCTCGCACTAGTGCATGCTCGAGGCGCTGGTATTTTTTCCCTCGATCATTGGATTTCAATCTCAACGGCACATCTTATTATCAATCTCAGCTCCCTTGAGAACTCCCTGGAGAGCCACAAGGCGCACGGAGTTAATGCGGCTTTATCATCCTTACGAGGTACCCATTCACAGCTGGGTGGACTGGGACATATAGTCATAGTATTTTGTCCAAGTTTACTGCACGCTGCTGCACCCGCAACTAGGTGTTTGCACGTATTCATGTGGCCATCATTTGGTCATATACCAACGGATTCGTGGGTCCTTTTAAGTGCACAGGATTGTGTACTGTACCCTAGGGGTTGTGACAACACTGAAAGAGTCTGCACACAAAGTTGACTCCAAGGTTTTTACACCCAGTCACAGATGGGCCCGATCCCGGCACCTCATGCTCGCTGGATCACTAGCCTGGCGCCTTAGCCAGCTCGCCCTCCACGCACACATTGAGCTTGAATATTGCTGTCTGTGAAGTACAACAACACTGACTCGCCCACTTCACTACAACTGTAAAGAAGAACAATACTAACTGATGTATAATATTCAAATCGGTTGAATCTGGGTACTGCAAGAGTGCAACTGAATACCACTTCAGTGTAGCCCCAGAGTAGGAAAAGGGGAAACATGTTCGACTGGGTCACCCCAGAGACCTTCGTCATACTTCCAAACCCGATTTTGTTTCTATTTGGAGGACAGCTGAAACAGAAAATTATAATAATGTGATATGGAAACAGGGAGCATGTCTTCACTGAACACTGCACCACAGTTCTTTACGTTCTTCTTAACATGTCTGAAGATGTCTTTCAGTGGCATTTAGAAGTTGTACATTAATGTCCAAGATATTTTTATGGATTAAACTTCTTTTTAATTACTCTCCATAGTGTACTGTGATGTCACTTGCATTGTGACGTCATAACTCAGTTATGACGTCATAGTGACGACGTCATAGTCCTAACTGCCAGTTCACCTGATGAAGGGACCTGGAATGGTCTCGAAACGTCGTGAGAGAAATTAAAAAGAAGTTTAATCCATAAAAATATCTTGAACATGTCTGAAGATGCATAAAATCTTGCGACAGAAAAGGTGCATTGTCTCTTGCACTCTTGAATAACACATGAGTTTCTGTACAATTTGTGAAACCAATGTTGAAACAAGTGACGATCGTGATTTCTTCCACCAAACTAAATCGCCGTGTTCTGGGAACTTCAAGCTTTTGATTTGATGTCAACAGTTTCGTCCGTCCAGTAGTTTCATACAAGTGGACGACCATGTAACATATGTTATACATGTACTGGGATTATGGGTCTTATAAATGTACCAGAATCTACACTTTACTAAGAAAGTGTAATTCCAAATATGACATGTTGTCCACTCTCTAATGGCATTGTTTACTCAAAGAAGACGTGCATGTTAACGACTGAAGGAATGTATGGACATCAAAGATGATGTCAAGATTAAAGCCACAATCCCAACTTATCAGATGTCAGTCTGTAAATTATTGTGTCTGGACCAGAACATTTGATGATTTACCTCATGAATATTCATCTGCTCAATCGGGATGCTATAGCATGCATCAACCAAGTCAGCATGTCTGACAATCAGATCCTGTGTTAAAGCTCTTTCGACAAGCATGCGTTGCTGAAAACCAAATCTAACCGGATCGTCATGGGGCTATTCATGGGAGATGTTAATGAGAACGTTTGAGATATTTGCTCACATTTTAAGGAATATAAATTAGTGTTTCGCTAGCTGTAGTTTCCTGGGAGTCAAATTACAGGTAACATTTTCTTATAACGAATGCCCCGAAACAGCATTTTCATTAAATGACAGGAGAAAGAGGAGATTTATAGGGTGACCTGATACTGACCCATATGAGTCGGTCAGTTGAAAAGAAACCTTCCCAGGCCTTGACAGGCCCGAGGGTAGAAGAACGGATTGACAACATCATCCCCTGTTATATGAAGATATACGAGTTCAAATGAAGGATGCAGAGATGAACAGCAACTGAACTAATATCAGTCAGTATCTTGAACAATAGATGGGGCGGTGGGGTAGCCTAGTGGTTAAAGCGTTGGCTCGTCACGCTGAAGGCCCGGGTTCGATTCCCCACATGGGCACAATGTGTTAAGCCCATTTCTGGTGTCCCCCGCAGTGATATTGCTGGAATATTGCTAAAAGCGGCGTGAAACTAAACTCAGTCAGTCAGTCAGTTGAACAATAGATAAACATGACCATCCTGTCGTATCGTGGGGAAATACAAACGAACAGTAAAGGGCATATTTACCACTCCGAACCTGTGCTGCTGTTGGAGACATTTCCTCTGTCCCTGCATATTAAGATGCATGTTACAACAAACTTGTCAACAGCTGCTTAGTGCAGGCATGATGGTGTTAGTCACATTTACAGAACAGTTACTGCAAGCAACACGGCAGTAGAAACGCCTCCCTGAAGCAGTCGTTCAGAAAAGACGACTATTGTATTACAGCTCTGACATGGGACCAGTGTTTGTTCCTGGAAATATAACCTAACAAACTTTCAGGAAGCGTGACCACCAGTCTGACAGGAACACCAAGGCTGATGTTTGTAACCGGTTCCAGAGTTTCAGGACTTGCTAGATATGCCCTTACGTTGACTGTTGTCCGTGTGGCAGTCATTGTGGGTCTCTCTCGAATCCTTGAAAAAATAAAACAGAAATTAAGTTTCCTACACATAACATCACTTTGAAAATAAAGTTAGTTATCAAAACCCTTACGGATTGTGTATCGCTCTTCATGCAGTGGGGAAGAGCTTCAATCTCTGACACATTCCTTACAACTTTGCCTTTGTAGAAAGGGCATTTATCATCATCGTGTTCCCAACTACTTGGGAACTTTCATAAACAATCATGTCTGTTCAGAACCAAATATGAATTAGTATTTTTGTATTACTGTTCGTTTGATGCTGCTTGCCACACAGGAGAAATCTTTTTCATTAACTTACTTCGCCACCGCTACACCCTTGCATCAAATGCAGCATAGGCTTTAGATATATCACACTGAACTTGATGTTCCTCATCTTCAAATGATTCTACACCTTTTTCCTTCTGAAATCTTATCGTCCAATTCAGGACTCCATCAGCAACCTAGTGATGTATGAACACAAACAACCATAAAGTTAAGACATATGTATAATTACCTTAAGGGCTATGTCTTCTTATATGCAAGACTTTGATGTATAATTTAGTGTACACACATTGTGGAACAAGACACACACACGTTAATAAGCACGTCATGTTTGAGGTTCTGCAATATACATTATGTTCTTACCGTTTCTTCAGTCGGTATCAACTCTCCAGACAAGTTTTTAATTTGAACATTTAAACGCATTTCGACAGGCTTGAGTATCCTTTCTGGACAACACACACACACACATACACACACACACACACACACACTAACGCACGCACGAACGAACGTACATTGACGTTTGAGATTCTGCAATATCCATTTATTCTTTTCTTACTGTTTTTGCAGCACAATTTGGAGTCAACTCTCCGGACACGTTTTTAATTTGAACATTTAAACGCATTTCGACAGGCTTGTGTATCCTTTCTTGATATACAGACAATGAGAGATTCGTGGATGAGATGTACATACTAATAAGGAAAGATTCGTGGGAGAGATGTACATACAAATAAAGAGAGATTCGTGGTAGAGTGTATATGCATACAATGAGAACGTGGATGAGATGTAAATCCAAATAAAGAGAGATTCGTGGTAGAGTGTATATGCATACAATGAGAGATTCGTGGATGAGATGTATATCCAAATAAAGAGAGATTCGTGGTAGGGATGTATATACACATCGGGAGTTTCATAGATGTATACAGACACAATGGCAATGAGAGATTCGTGGAAGGATTGTGATCGTCAATCATTGTGATGATCGTACGATCGTACAATATGATTTAAACAATATTTTACTTGAATTAACGAAATGAAAGATGGATAAACAAACAGCTCAAAAGGCCTATATCAATGCTTCTCCGCATATACTACATTATAGCTTTTCTATAAATTCTATGAAGCAGACGACAAAGAACGTACGATATGGCTTTACTACAATATCCCAAGGTATGTGTGCGAATACATTTTGAACAAAAAGTACCAAAGAAATGTACTAAGAGCGCGCAATTCACGTTCTACAGGCAGGCAAAATAGATTTAAGAATTTGCATCTGTGTAGTCGCACAGCTGCGTCACTGGTGTGGCACCATAAAAGTGCTCTGTTGTACAAAACTAAACATTATTATCGATATCTACAATCCAATAGCCCAGCAAATGCTTTGAACCCAAAACGCGCCTCTTCACATCTTATGTTCACAAGAACCAAACAGCTCGCGGTTAATTTTGTCAAGGAAGAAGGAAAATGAATGGCACAAAATACAAAGTTATGTTGTTGTATTCACGGTAGCAAACCCAACAAAGATTAATAGTCACAGGTATATACTTCAACATACCTTGGACGACTCTGTTCTCTTCCATGTCCTCAATCACTGCTAGATCAGCAGCATAGCGGTTTCTACACGTGGCAGCTGCGCTAAATCTAGTAACATCTTTGCCGACAAATTTGAAGCACTTTATTTTCGCCTGTGTCCAACCTTCATGGCATCTTAATAATATGAACAAAGACAGATGTAATGTACTATGGAGTCAAACGAAACGTAATGGCTGCTGTGTTGGAGATTATGTACTGTAAAATCTAATGTTGTCATCTATAAAATTCAGATTTTAAATTAGGCATATCAATGAACAATGAATCCAATTGAAAAAAGAATATATTTTGAATCATATTCTATGTTAAAAAGTAAGATGAATTATTGCTCATATAATTCAGGCATGTTCAATATTAACCTCAATTCCTAAATATGTGAAAGTTCTCCAATCTGGTATATGATTTTTCGAGATTTTGTGCAAAGAAAATGATTAAGTAACAAGTGGAGCTAAAGTTGTAGACAAACAACTCTCAATCATTACCTTGGTATCTTCCAGCAGTAGCAGCGATGGGGAGAAAGGCAAACAAAATGAACAACAGAACACCATCCATCTCTGTTGAAACGTCTGAACACAGTGCTTAAATTTGTTATATGGTGAGGGACTAGTTGCTACCATAAACCGGAGGTAGTTAATGGCGTAATTGGACGCCCAAAGCACAGTTCACAAGAGCAGTGAGTTCTAATAGCAGTGATTTATGGAAGATTTGAATATGGTAAACGTCGTTACTATAATCAGTCATTTGAAACATGTTCGGCAGTTAATGAAGTGAATATCCATAAATAATTGAGGCTCAACACTGATGAGGGTTCATTCGGAAAATATAGTGCAATAGAGAAGCGTACCTAAATGGAAATATGTATCTACACATCAGGGTATCTTCTTTAATCCAAAGCTACATGTAGCCTAGTGGTTCAAGCGTTCGACTGTCTCGCCAAGAACCCGGGTTCGATTCCCCACATGGGCAAAAGTGTGTGAAGCCCGATTCTGCTGTCCCCCGCCGTGATATTGCTGGAATATTGCTGAACGTGGGGTAAAACCAAACTCACTCACTCACTATTTGCAAGACAAAAACGGCACGTGCCTGTCTAACGTTATTCAGTTATGGACAGAAGGACAGAATATCACTGGAATATCCTTGAATTTCCCTGAGGAGCATTTCCCCCTAACCTTTGAACTTCATGATTTATGTGCACCACCCCCGCCCATACCTACTCTCTCACTTAGGTTTTTTTCAGTCACCAAGGGTAAATTCACATTGCCGTCCTGATATACTCTAGGCGAATAACTATGCTAACAATCTTTTTAACCAAATCATGTAGTTCTTTTAAAATATCATGCTCTCATGTGGTATTAACAAAACAAATATCACCAGACAAGCGCTTAACTGGAACCCACATGGCAAGAGGAAAAGAGGACGTCCAAAACAAACCTAGAAACAAAGCCTGGAAAAGGAACTGAGGGAAACCGGTTTAACCTGGGAGACTACCAAGAGCTTACCCACTGACCGGCAAGCGTGGAGGACAACTGTTGAGGCGCTATGATCCTCAAGGAGTAAAGAGGTCAAGTCATGTGGTATTACGGATACTGGATACTGTTTAATTTCAATTTCATTTTAACAAATGATTCCAGTGAACCTTATTGTCGTTATACTTTCATTTTAAAAAGGAAAAAACATTGAATGTTACTGATTAGATTGATGGTGTACAACTACCAGACAGTCGAGGTTTTACCATACGTTCATTGGTTTTACAAACACAGCCAGTTGATGATACGTGAATAATAAAACGGACCTGTGAAGCTTCTTCCAGATATAGTGAGTGAGTGAGTATGAATTTACGTCGGCTTTAGCAATATTCCAGCAATATCAGGGCGGGAACCACCAGAAATGGGCTTCACACATTGTACCCATGTGGGGAATCGAACCCGGGTCTTCGGCGTGACCAAGGCTACCCCTACCGCCTCTTTACCAGGTATAGGAACAATTATGGCATTATGCCACATATGAAATTCCTCGAAGTCCAGATGCGATCAAATATATCCGCAAGTGTCTCAAGACATTCATGGGGAGAACGGATAGCCTAGTCTTCTAAGGCGTGGCAATTCGCTGTGCAGAGTTGCGTCTTATGGACTCAATTGATCGTGGGTTCCAATCACATTTTAACTGCTTATGTTTCTCAGTTTGTCTGCGCCATACCCGTGCTCGTAGATTTCGTGCTAAACGTCTGAGAATTGCGTCAGTTCGGGATTTCCTTCCACACGGAACAAGCACGTTGTAATATGCTACTGGTCAAAGGGTCCTCACACAGATCGAACCAGCAACAAACCAATGGTCTACTGTACATACCAAGAAATGTCATAAAGTGGCTCTAGGTGGTGGATTCACCAAGATGATGATTGTCATGTCGCGTATTGTGAAATGCGGAATATTTCGTTCCGCTTTTGAAGTTGTGTTTTTGCACTTGCTGACCGGAAGTAATAAATGGAAATTATGCTGATGCAAACCTTTTATGTGGTTTGACGAAGAAGTTGTAACTGAATTGGTCATAATTCTAAATTACAAAGATATCTTGACTTCCGTATTGCTAAACCATTGAAATTTTGAATTATATCAATCCATTTTCTGTGACTTTGTGTGCCTGCAATTTAGGGTAGGTGCTAGAATTTGCGCTTTACCAAGAAACTATTATCGTTATGTTACATATGGTTGACATTTGCTCCACCGGGGACTACAAACTTCTGCCCACGATATTTTCTGATAAAACCTCAAAGGGAAACCTCGTGAATGAAGCAATAATTGTAGAACGACAATATCACACGGATTGACAACTTTTATAGGGAATTACTACAATCATATGAAATTTAATGTGAGTCTGGACTCTGGTGAATCAGGGGACATTCCAGTCTGCTGTCTGATCCTCGCCGATATTTTTGAATATCGTGGCTGCTACGGTTATGTTGACTGAAATGTACAAAAAATAATCGTAGACATTCAATCAAGTTGAAGAAAGAGTGAGTGTGTTTAGTTTTACGCCGCTTTTAGCAGTACTCCAGCAATATCACTGCGGGGAACACCAGAAATGGGCTTCACACATTGTACCCATGTGGAGAATCGAACCCGGATTTTCGGCGTGACGAGCGAACGCTTTAACCACTAGGCCACCCCACCGCCAGTCTTGCAAATACTTGCAGCCAGTGGCGAAGCTACTATATTTTTTTTTAATACCGGGCTTGCACATGATTTTTGCTAAAGATCACCATGAAAGTTGGGCAAGCCCTTAATAATATCTAAATATACAGTTGAGCAACTTATCGGACTAACACGAAAAAATTGGTTGCTACGCGCCTGGTAGCTATGGATCAAAGGACATACCCTGATGTATAAATGTTTTGCGGTTTCTGTGATACATTTATTTATTTTGATTAAACAGGTTGTGTTACTCTGTGAGGGCCAGCTAAATCCAGAGCTCGTATTAGCTGTTATGTCAGATCAGTAGTTAATCAAATATTGTTGGCTGGCTTCCATGAATGCCTCGCTGGCTTTATCTGAAAATAAATTCACAATTTGAAATAAACTATCAAATGATCGTTTTGAAAAATGGTTAGAAATACCATTTTCCCTCCTCCGGTTTTAACTGACAACTAGTATGTATAAATACCCCCACTCGTCAATAATGACTGACATACATTATCACCATACACTGACCTTGTATATTACCCATCATGCTATGCGTGCATTTGCGAATGCCTCATCCTCTGTAAGGACAATACTGTGAAAGAAAATAATAATGTTTATACAATTTGCGTTCATCAACCACCTATGAAAGTAAGGTTAGGATTGGTCTTCAGCATCCTGTGCTTATCGTAAAAGGCGACAAACGGGATCGGGTGGTGAGGTTCGCTGACTTGGTTGACATATGTCATTGTATCCCAATTAGATAGATGCTCATGCTATTGATCACAGGATTGTCTGGTCCAGACTTGATTATTTACTGACCGCCGCTATATAGCTGGAATAGTGCTGAGTACGGCGTTAAACAACCAACCAACCAACCAACCAACCAACCAACATTATCAACCCCCTGGTGTTATTTCTGTCTCTTGGAACTAAGGAAATGTAGGATTTTTTGTGTTTGTTTTTGTCGTGGACGTGTAGAGCCACGTTAATAACGCTCTCTGTTGTATGTCACATAATGTCATGTCAGCTTCTTTTAGCATTTAGCTTGGTCTGTTCCACTTCCTGTGACCACCAAGGTCTATCATACTGCTACCAACATGTTGATAATAAAATCGCAGGTTAGAAATAAAGACCATCATTGGTAATTAAAAAAATTATAATGAACATCGCCACTTTGAAACAAATGTGTGAAGTATATGCCAAATAATGGACCTATCAATACCTTATATATTTATATATACATTATTATTACACACACACACACACACACACACACACACACACACACACACACACACACATACATATATACAAATATATATATTCTCATGCGATAATATATGTAACGTCCGGGTAGGATTGAATGTATGACATTTACTGTGATACGCTGTTATGATTTACGGTAGGGGATCGTTAAATGGTTAACTGTATGAATGATTGCATGCTATCTGACTGATATTTGATGTTACCTGATATGATTCATTGTGTTGGATCGTTTTAGGATTCATGGCATGAAAACGTTAAATGGTTTACTATATGAATCGGTGCATGCTATCAATCTGTTACCTGGTGTTATTTGGTGCCACTGTGTTGAGTCGTGATTCAATTCACCTTCATTCAAGACATCGGTTACAAACCGCTCTAATTGATTTGGTGGACTTTGTTAACAGGCGGACCTATACCAGGAATTGGTTTGTCATGGCTTTGCACGCTTTGTCCACAATAATGTTCCTGCTTGTTCGTACGCCTCCTGGAGCTCAGTCCATACGGTATCGATCAACACAGACTGATCATAACAAATGAGGAGCAACAGGCTGATTATATTTCACAGTGGGGGTGAGTGGATGCTCAAGTTTGGTTTGAAAGTACCAGACTGACAGACGCAATGATAAAGCTTCAGTATTGCTGTGTGCTGTTAAAAAACCTTAATATTCTGTCCCGTTTAGTAATGCTTGTACACTGTCGAAAAAGGCGACTTGGTCGACACATGTCGTCGCATACTGATTGTGTAGATCGACGCGCATGATGCTGATCACTGGATTGTCTGGTCCAGACTCGATTATTTACAAGAAGCAAACAGAGCTTGTACACCTACCGCTGGAGCAGCTGTGAAACTAGACGAAGGTACAAGGGTACAGCTGAACACCACTTCTGTGTAGCCTGGCAGATAAAACATGGGAAATGTCCTAGACTGGATCACACGAGAGATACTCTTCATTGTCCCAAAGCCAATGCCTATCCTCACAGAACAACTGGAAGAGATGAGCGATCCATTATTGAAGCGAGAGCAGTATCATCATCATCATCATCATCATCATCATCATCATCATCATCATCATCATCATCATTCATGCCTGTCGCGTACTTTTGTTTTCCCACTTTTGTTTTCCAATGAACAGTTCATATGTTTGATAATGACATGATAAATACAAGAAAACTATCAAATTTTAGTGTTATAGTGCAATGCGGATTACACGTATAAGTATTCTAAGCAGTGTGCGAAATAGCCACTGGCCCGCTAGCCCGTAGCTAATAAAAATCAAGTCAGGCCAGGAAATCTCCACAGTCACTGGCCCGACTGGCTAGAGAATTTTCATGGGGTCATTTTGTAAATATGTCGCTCTCTCCGTCCTGTAAAATTATTATACACTTTTTTAAAATCATGCATCATGTTAGCAGCTTAATGATGAAAAACGTGTTTACATTCAAATGTCGGCCTTGTGAATTATTTTGTTGGCTAGTAACTCTCAGGCAAAGCTAGCCCGACTGACTAGCAAAATGTGGAAACTATTTCGCACACTGATTCTAAGCTCGATAACGTTACTGGTGAGATAGGTACATTTGTATACCATACAAGTTCATCATGGTAAAAGTTGCCCTATGTTTCTAAATGAGTTATTTGGACTTCACAACACTGGGGATTTCATGTAATAGTTTTAAGTTATTTGTCCAAACCTTTTACTCCAATAAAAACAGAGACAATGTACAACTTGATTATCAACCAACTGATCAGTTGATCGCCGTAAATGATAATCACCTCCCAAAAGGTGTTCGCCTGTAATACACATTGGCATTGACTTTTTCATGACCTCATTCCTCCAGACACACTCTGAAGGAACAGAGACAAATTTGAAAGATTTTTATCACACAAATGTTAAGTACAGATAATTATACCTCGCGTAAGAGCGATTCCCCATTGTCGTATATAACCTTAATCCTACAGATACCTTGATTGTTTAGAGCCCTAATCTTCGATAAAGGGAACAATTATCCAATATAAACTCATGCAAATAGCCACATAGACATTGTGGAAGTGGCAGAGTGAGTGAGCTTAGGTTTACGGGGCTTTTAGCAATATTCCAGTAATATCACAGCGAAGAACACCACACTGTGTATGAGAAGGGGCGCTCCAAATGGAAAGGTGAAATCAAACCTCTAAACTTTTAGAATTCGCTCGTCACGCCGAAGGCCCGTGTTCAATACAATGTGTGAAGCCCAATTTGTGTCCCCCGCCGTTATATTGCTGGAATTGCTAAAAGCGGCGTAAAATCCAACTCACTCCCTCAGATTCTAAAGATCTGGACTTTTTCTAACTGTATTGTTTAATGTTAGAAACTAATATTTGTATTTATCAGGTCACTTTACTAGAAGGACGTGGACTGTTTTGATGCTTATATTCGCACCTCAAGTTGACGTAGTCGAAGAGTAAAATATGTTTTCATACCTGCTGAGTTCTAAATTACCTGTCATTATCAACATATCTTCAAACATATTCCAGCAATATCACGGTGGGGGAAGCCAGAAATGGGCTTCACACTTTGTACCCATGTGGGGAATCGAACCCGGGCCTTCGGAGTGACGAGCAAACGCTTTAACCACTAGACTCTCCCACCACCTCAGTGAATCTGGAAGTCAGTGACTGTATACTGACCCTGAGTCGTCAGTCAGTTGTACAGTGACATTTCCATCTGGAGATGCAGCTTGACAATTTCGAGGATTAAAGAACGGATTGACGATGTCATCCCCTGAAACAAGACGATGTTGTAAAATATGGGGAAATACGACACGTGTCTTCAAATTCATAGGTGTGTTTTCCAATCTCCTTGAACCTGTCCTGATTTGGTCTTGTGGCAGCTAGGTCAAAAGGTCAACTCATAATGTGATACTAAGCATCGATGATCGTTATTGGTGTTCATATCAGTGCAGCCATAGACTATATCTTCCTGGTGGTAATATCAGGAAAGGTTAGCTGAAAGGGCAGATAGCACTCTTTCATAACCTGAAACGTGTTTAGCCCGGGAATAACAACATGCTTGATTTATTCAAACCTTCTGGAAGCTTGACCACCAGTCTGACTGGAACACCAAGGCTGACATTTGTGACCGGTTCCAGAGTGTCAGGATCTGCTAGGTATGTCCGGGGACCGACCCTAATCTGTGTGGCAGCTGTTACGGTCCGCTCTCGAATCCTGAAACATGTAAGCTGAATCAAAGCTTCATTCACAATAACAATATTTACTCCACGCATTCAAATTGTTTTATTTTGCATGAACTATTATATAATACCCCTCCACCCCAAACAACAAACAAAAACCACAAAACCAAACCAAAAAGCCCACACAACAAAACAAAACAATAAGAACAAAACAAAACAAACACACACACGCAACAAAAACAAAACACAAACTTAAAAAACATAAAAACACAGTTAGCGAACACATAGGGGCCACTCACATATGGGATCGTACGCATACGAAGTGAAACATAAGTATATATCTGCAGCCACATTATCTCTACGCATTGATCAGTTAAAAAAAATACATACTCCTCCACCCCTACCCTGCCAGTGTGATCGTATGCAGCATCAGCTTCGGACAGATCACAGTGGACGTGGAGGTCCTCATCTTCAAACGACACCACGCCACTATTCTTCTGAAGTCTGAAGGTCCATTTCAGTATACCCGTTCCAACCTTGGGTTGTATGAACACAAAAATAACCACAAAGAAAATACGCCTTCTGCTCATGCCCCTTTCAATTTATGGTTGTAATGTTGTTATATACACTACTGATACACACGATTAATAGTATAGCGTTATACACACACATACACGCACGCACGCACGCACGCACGCTCATGCACACATACAAACACATACACGCACGCTCATGCACACGCACACAAATACACACGCACACACACTGACAGAGAGGAACTATTATTGAAGGTCTGTGCTACACAACCCGTGAAGATCCGGTTTAGAATTGATCTTCAGTAACCCATGCTTGAGTGCGGCATAAAACTAGACTCACTCACTGTGTTTTACACTACGTTCTTACTGTTTCTACAGGACAATCCGATTCCCAAACTCCCGACACGTTTCGAATCTGTACATGTAAACCAAGATAGCTAAACTTTCTTTTGTCACATCTGGGACTGATCTCCCCTTCAGCGTTCACGGCTCCGAAGTTCGAGAAACGGATGCCTTTCTTGTCCATGGTAAGGTTCAAAGAATACCCTTTCCGATCTTTCATACAGTAGAAGGACACTGCAATCACGCAATAAAAACACGCAATGTAATACCTCACCATGACAAATCAGGATATCAGAGTACTCTATTTTTATGAGTGAGTGAGTGATTTCGGTTTAACCCCTCTGTTACATTACCGTGTGTCTGTTTATTGTGGGAGGAAAGCCCGAGATAAAGCAAGTCTCAGTTAGTTACCACTTCGGTGGAAACCACCAGCACGGGCGTGGGGCTCACAGAGCTACAAATCTAATCGAGGCGGGTTCCAGTCGCCGACGGGATCGGGTGGTCAGGCTCGCTGATTTGGTTGACACATGTCATCGGTTCCCAATTGCGTAGCTCGATGTTCATGCTGGTGATCACTGGATTGTCTGGTCCAGACTCGATTATGTACAGATCATCGCCATAAAGCTGGAATATTACTGAGTGCGGCGTAAAACTAAACTCACTCACTCACTCCAATCGCCGATCATAGGTTCCAGGTTTAGGAGAACAGACCCACACGTGCCCTCGCCGTAGACTTTATGATGACGTATTTGCCGGTAAATTATAAGAAAATTCAGGTCTATTTACACTATCAGTAACTATATTTCAAGTTTCAAACAGGTCATGTGGAGCACTTTAATTCGAAATGTTAACCCATAAAATCTGTTTTCTCCTGAAATGATTTCACTGTGCATATGCATCTTGTCATGTTGAGGTTTGAGCATGCAAAGTTATTCGTCTCGAAACTATCTTTATACACTTATTCACCAAGAACTGTGGAAAAGAACTTGCCGTAAAAAGATCGCATTGAATCAAGAGAATTAATAAAACATGAGTTGGAGAAAACATATTCTTACCTTCAGGTTTGTCTATGCCTGGAAAAGAAACGTAAGTCTCGGTATAAATGTTTACCATATTTTGGAGCATCAAGTACAATTTCATAATGTAGGTATTTAAAATCCAATAATACTAGACTGGAACACTGTCATTTGTATATCTGACAATTGATCTGGATGTCCGTTTTATCTTTGTGTATTGTGTTCGTCCAACCCAGTTCTTGACCAGGGACACGGCTGGAGGTTGCACACATGTATAATCTCCCGGGCTTTATACCTTCAATTACTGAACAGTTGTCAAATGGCTGAACTACGAGACACCTAAATATAACATAAACCTATCTAATGCTTTGTAAAACACATCTATTTCTCAAACGTTTTTTCCCTAACATATGAACATCGGAAGCTCTGTATATCTACACAACAGTCGTAATTCAAAACCATCTGATTGGTACTTCCGGCTCACCAATCACTTGATTGTCCGGTTTGTTGACACTGGAGCGTTGCTGTGTGGTATCAGGCGAAACATTCGGTTGGATAGGACATCCGTACCCGTTCAAAGAACAGCTGATGTCACCACTGATTTTCAGTGATCCATTCCTATTTTTGCAGATTCTGAGCTATTGTTCCTTTAAACCAAAACTTGTTTCGACTGATAGTCCAGAATGGGTATTCGTTTTCATTGATTTTCTCTATTTCATGTATTTATGTACAGCTATCAAATACGGAGCACAGGATCAATCAATAGTTCATCAAATGTAAATGTTGTTAAATATGTAATACATAGGTAAGAAAGGGGTATTTACTTGTCACTCGTGTCTTTCACACATTTGTCCATCCCAGCTCACATCCATACATTTCTGTACACCATTAATTCCCATGGTTAAATCAAATAGAAGTTGCGCCGTTCAGCAACTCAAACTCTTGCGGAATATGTAATACAAAGTTGGAATTGCTAGTATTTACTACTCACGTCTATCACATTTGTCACCAGCCCAACCCAGCACACATCCATGCGGGCAATCGTCAGTTCCATTACAGACATAGCCCCGGTAGCAGTGACACTGGCGGTCACACTTGTCTCCAGTCCAGCCTGGTTCACATTCTGAAATATACAGCTAATGCACTTTAAAATTTGTTTGTTGTTTACTGCTGAATCCAACTCAGAACGGCAGTATATATGTAAATAATCAAGACAACCAAGTTATTGACAACTTGAGTATCGATCTTCCCACTTAGGATACGATACAGAGGACTCAGACCAGGAGCAAGAAAGCCGCCTCTTACAACAAGCAGATGGTTGGTTGGTCCCGTACTCTGTATACCCTACCTCCAGTCTTCACATCTAGTACAGAATATCTGTATACCCTACCTCCAGGCTTCACGTCTAGTACAGAGCTCCTGTACGCCCTACCTCCCGTCTTCACGTCTAGTACAGAATATATGTATACCCTACCTCTTGGCGGCACGTCTAGTACAGAATATCTGTATACCCTACCTCTTGGCGGCACGTCTAGGACAGAGTTCCTGTTCACCCTACCTCAGGTCTCCACATCTAGTACAGAATATCTGTATATCCTACCTCTTGGCGGCACGTCTAGGACAGAGTTCCTGTTCACCCTACCTCAGGTCTCCACATCTAGTACAGAATATCTGTATATCCTACCTCTTGGCGGCACGTCTAGGACAGAGTTCCTGTTCACCCTACCTCAGGTCTTCACATCTAGTACAGAATATCTGTATACCCTACCTCTTGGCGGCACGTCTAGGACAGAGTTCCTGTACACCCTACCTCAGGTCTCCACATCTAGTACAGAATATCTGTATATCCTACCTCTTGGCGGCACGTCTAGGACAGAGTTCCTGTACACCCTACCTCAGGTCTCCAGTACTGGTACAGAATATCTGTATACCCTACCTCTTGGCGGCACGTCTAGGACAGAGTTCCTGTTCACCCTACCTCAGGTCTCCACATCTAGTACAGAATATCTGTATACCCTAGCTCTTGGCGGCACGTCTAGGACAGAGTTCCTCTTCACCCTACCTTAGGTCTCCAGTACTGGTACAGAATATCTGTATACCCTACCTCTTGGCGGCACGTCTAGGACAGAGTTCCTGTTCACCCTACCTCAGGTCTCTACATCTAGTACAGAATATCTGTACACCCTACCTCTTGGCGGCACGTCTAGGACAGAGCTCTTGTTCACCCTACCTCAGGTCTCCACATCTAATACAGAATATCTGTATACCCTACCTCTTGGCGGCACGTCTAGGGCAGAGTTCTTGTTCACCCTACCTCAGGTCTCTACATCTAGTACAGAATATCTGTATACCCTACCTCTTGGCGGCACGTCTAGGACAGAACTCTTGTTCACCCTACCTCAGGTCTCTACATCTGATACAGAATATCTGTACACCCTACCTCTTGGCGGCACGTCTAGGACAGAGTTCCTGTTCACCCTACCTCAGGTCTTCACATCTAGTACAGAATATCTGTATACCCTACCTCTTGGCGGCACGTCTAGGACAGAGTTCCTGTTCACCCTACCTCAGGTCTTCACATCTAGTACAGAATATCTGTATACCCTACCTCTTGGCGGCACGTCTAGGACAGAGTTCCTGTACACCCTACCTCAGTTCTCCACATGTAGTACAGAGTATCTGTATACCCTACCTCTTGGCGGCACGTCTAGGACAGAGTTCCTGTTCACCCTACCTCAGGTCTCCACATCTAGTACAGACTATCTGTACACCCTACCTCTTGGCGACACGTCTAGGACAGAGTTCTTGTTCACCCTACCTCCGGTCTCCAGTACTGGTACAGAATATTTGTTTCTCAAACACGTTGGCAACGATGTTGTTCGTTTAGCACATGTTGTGCAGTCTCTCGGCATAGCATGCCCTGATCACTTGCAGGTAGCCGAACTACCAGGGTTCAACTTTCTAATGAAAGAACATTTCATGGATCCAACTGGATTATGGATCCAGAGAACGATTTTCATCAGAAGCCTCGCAGTTATGAAAAAGACTATATCAAACACTTGCTCATAATAATTGCAACAACTCCCTCCCCTAGTGGGCATGTGGCTATATTAATCATTCAGCGACCTTTAGTAGTTGGCAGCTGTGCCGATTGGTATACTTGTTAAGATACGTGCGCCTAAAATACTGTTGTGCATAGCTTACCAGCTTTCTTGAAACACAGATAGGGGCGGCCAACAAAACAAAATGATCGTTGCCATTCACCAGTACTGAGTATCATCACGCAATCTCCGTTAGTCCGACCAGAAGCCCAGTTTGAATAACTGTACATAAACTGAAACAGGTGATCATAAGTTTGTGTGTGCATTGCTGTCTTTGAACAACTCTCCAATTTAAGTGTTTACAGCAGTCGTAATTCAAAATCTGGCATTTCCGGGACATCAATCAAATTAAGAAGAGGATGGGGGAGGACTCGAGCCTGGTCCAGACAATCCAGTGATCAACAGCATGAGCATCCACGCAACTGGAATACGACGACATGTGTCAACCAGCGAGGCTGAACACCCGATCCCGTCAGTCGCCTCTTACGACGACAAGCATGGGTTGCTGAAGACCTATTCTAACCCTGATCTTTACAGGTACCGAATTTGTGGGCAGGAGAGTGTTGACAAAAACCAAATTGAATTTGTACTTCACTTAGAATTTTTAATCTCAAATTAGACATTTGTTACAGTCAAATACGCATGTTCGTGAGAAGCTACTGTCAGCACTCAGGTAATATAATAGAAGACAGTTAGTTCGACTTAATTATAATATAAATTGCATCTTTATATCTATAGTTTTGTTATTATAAAAATCCATCTGAAACATAGAATCAAAATCCAACCCATTGTAGTGTTGTTGCTTTCCTTTTATGCCAGTGATATCGAAATAAATATCAAACTAGCACTTTACTTCGATATCTCTGGTGATTGGTGACAATCATTTCTTCTTACCTCATATTCGTTGTTCCATTTATAACTTCCATATTCGCGACGCAGCCCGATCCATGCAACCGACTGACCACCGAGAAGATCTAGAAATGGTTTCGTTCATGAGAGACATCTTTGAACAAACTCGGAACATTTTCATGTGAGATATATTTGTTTACCTTGAGAATAATTATTTACCTTGAGAATAATTATGATCACATGGGACATTTTCGTTGAACTTTGCAAAAAAAAGTCAGAATTTGTATATCTGATACAACTGAAGTTCATATTAAATGTTTTCACTGCAGACATAGTACAAGCACATGCCTTACCCAAACTGCAGTATCGATTGTGTACCCGCATAACCAGTATCAGTGTGTTTTGCGAGTATCAATGCATCTAACACACATTTATACCTACCTTGAACTACTTTATTCTCCGCTTCGTTTTCAATCACGGCTAGAGAGGCTTTATGGTTATTTTTACACCGGCTCTGCGCATCAATTGTCCGACTTCTTTCGTCCACAAGCTTGAAGCACTTTGAACGCCCCTTTCTCCAGCCTTCGGGGCAGACTGTATATGAGAACAACTACTGAGAATAGACATACCAACCCCCCTACAAAGATTCACGCAATTGGCGTCCAAGGCACAACAGGGATGACGATGACATACATGGATCACTGGAATCAGTAATTACACCAGAACCTGATTTCTCAAAACAAACTTAAGTCTATACTCAAATTTCAAACTGAGTTTAACAATTTGAAACTGCTGAATTTATAACTCAAATGCATTTTGAAAATCAAACAGCCAAACCAACTCAGGTAACCTATATACTGAATATATACTATATACTGAAATTGTATACTATGTTTGAGTTTAATATCGCTTTCTGGGAAATGCATTTTCCTGCGTTTTCTCAAATTTGAGTACAAACCTTAACTTAAGTCAAAACTCAAGTTTTCCCAAAAAGTGTTAGCATGTCCTGCAGAGCAACCTACTCAGACAATCTGCACCAGAACAAATCTGTTACCTGACGAGGTAATCTGATCCAATCGTGTATGGATGCAGAAAAATATGCAGTGCAAAATATTATATTGTCAGCCATATATTCAATGATTAAATAGATAAAGTTATATCATGCGTGAAAATGAACAAGGTTCAATATCGGACGGATGCAGTTCACATAAATACACATTGTAAAAAATGTGGTCATGGATGAATCCCATTCTTTCGTATGGGTGACAATGAACAATTTCAAAGTTAAAGAGTGAGTGAGTGAGTTTATTTTTTTAGCCGCACTCAGCAATATTCCAGCTACATTGTAAAAAGTGGCGGTCTGTAAATAATCGAGTCCAGTGATCCAGTGATCAACAGTATGAGCATCAAATGGGATACGATGGCATGTGTAAACCAAGCCATCGAACTTGACCATCTAAACCCGTTGGTCGCCTCTTACGACAAGCATGGGTTACTGAAGATCAGTTCTAACCCTAACCTTCATGGGTCTCAAAGTTAAAGATAGTAAATGGTGATATACGTTGGTGACTGAAAATAAAATATATGAATAAATACCTAAATGAATAATCGCAGCCAAATATCCCCTTATTCATACCTTGGTGTATCCCACCGTCAGCCGCGTTGGGAAGAAAGACAAGCAAAGTAAGCAACAGAACAACACCCATCTCTGCTGAAGCGTACGAGCACAATGTTGAACAACCTTCTATGGTATGCTGGAGAGACAGACCAATCGTCATTAACTTGAAGCAAATAATAGCTTTCACGGACACCCACTGTTAGGCTTACACGACAATAACTCAGGATTAATACGAATGCTATTATGTCGAATTTGGACACATTAAACACAATTAGTGTTATCATAATTATGTATTTACACTTCCATTAATATCAATGGGTTTGTAATGTTTAGCGCTTGTGTCCACAATGCGTCATCAAAAATAGTGTAGGCTGCGTGGGAAATGATATTTTGCCCTGTAGAATAATGGAACAGCCCAATTAGCAATGAAGCAGGGGTGTGTCGTTTGGAGTAAGGTAGTAGTAGTTATTTGCTTTATTTAATGTGGCACCCACAACTAAGATATTCCGACGACAGGGTAGTACACTTATTAAGTAATGGGGGGAAAAAAATAGAAATTTTTAAAGAGTGGTGTTACTACCACAAAAAAACTAACAACTGAGTATTAAGGAAATTTGAATGGGATGCCGAATTAAAAAGGTGAAAACAATATGAAATAGGTAAAGAGTATTAGAGATTTTCAATTTAATATAGATGTGGTGTAGTAAATGGTTATAAAGTTAAAGAACATATATACACATTTATAACAATTTTAAAAATGATAAAAAGTGGTATTATTGTTTTTGTTGCTAGATTGTTTGGTATAGTTTTGTATGAATGAGATATTTAGTGAGTGGTTTAATTAATTTGGGATTTGTTAGAATGTGCTTGAAATCAGAAGAGTACTACTGGTTTTAATCTACATACCCAAGAAGCCTTAAACAATCCTATCCTCCCGGCAAACGCCAGTATCTTCACAGCAGAACTCGCAGCCATAGGTCAGGCCTTGCAAACAACATCTGACCAACAAACACTACCATCTGCATTTTTTAAGCTGCATACAGGCTCTCAAAAATTACTCTACAACAAAAAGACCAGATCTAATAAATAACATATACAGAAGAATACTATACGACCAAAACAAAAATAATCGAATACATTTTATCTGGGTCACATATCGGAGTCCATGGCAACGAAATGGACATCCTTGTCAGTTGTGTGTAATTGTGAAACCAGTAAAAGACTGTAAAACCAGTAAAAGACTGTAAAACTTATAATTTTTTCACGATATATCCATGTCTCCATGTAATGAGAATTCTCAGAATGAATAAGGATGTCTTACCAACCAACACTTGTCATTTTGTTAAACCTTGTGTAAGCAGAGTGGGAAGACACCATAGAACAGGTCAGTTCATTAACCAACTAACTGGTCAAGTTCATTTTAGCAGGGGTAGAACAGGTCAGATCGGTGTATTCCCATTAACTTCACTTCCTGATCACTGGACCCAATCATGTTGTTTTAACCTGTAGGCAGTATGGGAATACACCCCATATAGCTTGAATATTACGTGTGGCGTTAAACAACAAACAAACAAAAACATTCCAAGTCTACATTAGAGGGTAATATCATTACTTATTTCAACATATCAAACAATGTAAGTGTCATCATAATTCGGTCTTTAAAGCATTCTTGAAACTTCCAGATGTTAATATCCGTGAATATGTGAGGTTTACCATCAATGTCTACCGGTATTGTATACATGCAGATATCGCGAAGAGAAAGAACGAGCTTATTTAGCTTATCATGTCTCCCTTTATTCGTGGTTGGAGAAACCGCAATCAGTTTGGTATAGGCATAGAGTGAAGGTAGTTTTTTTATATTGATATTATGATGTACGGCGCATTAAGTTTAGGAATATCGATCTGAACATAACCCACACGGGTTGTCAGCCCTCATCACAAGCATGATGACGTCATCTTATGCCACAGAGATGAGGACACATCATGCATCAATAACCCATGACAACACTTCTAAGAGGTATGTGAGACTTATGGTTCACATTGCCCCCTAACATAATATACCTTACGAAGATAGCTGTTTAACGGATTCAGACACAAGTGTGTCTGCCATATGTATTTCAAACATACTCCTACGAACATCACCTCGACAGAGTAGAACTGCAACTCCAACAAAATTGGATTACAGCATCATCACTTTCTCTGCCAACATGAAACAGGTTCCTGAACGGAAATGTACGTGTGCCAGTCCATGATCACATCAGATCACATGATACAGCGCATGTAGACGTAAAATGTTCATACCTCATGGTAGAAGGAGTCACAACTGATGCATAAAGAACTCTTTGTTGGGCTGAATTTCCGGGGAAGGTTTAGGTCTATGTGTAGAACATGTGACCTCGTAAGTGTTATTTCCAGGGATAGGCTTTGACCCGCACCATGTAAACTGAACCACAAAAGAAACTTTGCACATTTGAAAATAATATTACGAAAAATGAGCAAGATAGGTTGAAACCCAAATAGTCATAAACATATAGCCCTAACGCAACCTATGCTCACGTGAAACGTTGAACCGGCAATATGCACGTGTCTTGTTGAAATTGTGAAATATTGGAAATCACGTGACCCCACTACAGGCGGAACTGCACATGCCACATGGGTATAAAAACCGCACAGCACCGATGTTAGACATTGACATTGGGAAAAGAACACCTTGGAAATGGTAAGACTGACAGCAGAACAACGCGAGCGAGCAATCGGAATAATTCAGATGGGGGCAACGCATACCCACGTTGCAAGAACCTTTGGTTGTTCCCGTGTTGCCATTGGTATTTTGTTGCTATAACTATACATGCAGACTGGACGGACATTGCACAGGCCCAGAATAGGGAGACCACGGGTCACCGCGCCACAGGAGGACCGGTACCTGCGTACGTTGCACCTCCGCAACCGCTTCCTCACGGTGACGTCATCGGCGGCGCACGCTTTAGGTCGGCGGATCAGCACAACCACGGTGACCAGAAGACTTCGGGCAGCGGGTATCAGGGCTTATCGACCATTCACTGGACAGATTTTGACCGCTGAACATCGCCGCAGGAGACTATGATTGGCGAATACGGTACGACGTTGGCAACGTCGGGATTGGCAACGCGTGATTTTTACGCTCTGTTTGTTTACTGTTGATGGCAGACAACGTGTTTACCGTCGCAGAGGTGAACGTACAGCTGCTTGCTGCGTACAACAAGTCGTTCCATACAGTGGAGGTGGAGTCATGGTGTGGGGTGTCATTTGTGGTGACCAGACAACGACACTAGTCGTCATTAATGGAAATCTCAATGTTCAACGTTACAGGGATGACATCCTTCGTCCTGTGGTACTACCCTAGTTTCAGCAACAGCCCCGGGATGTTCTGTACCAGCACGACAACGCCAGGCCTCACACAGCTCGTATTGTTGTGAACTTCCTTGCCGCAAACAACGTCGACGTCTTACCGTGGCCGGCATGCTCTCCGGACCTAAATCTCATAGAGCACCTCTGGGACATCTTGGACAGGCGTGTTAGGCTCCGACAACAGCCTCCCACCAACCGAAAAGAGTTGGTACACGCTCTACAGGCCGAATGGAACCGCTTGCCACGTAACCTCATTACACGTTTGACGTCTTCGGTCCGACGTCGAGGTCTTGCATGTGTGCTGCACGGGGTGGCCATACACTGTATTATAGTGACACATTTTGTGACTGGAACCACTATCTGGGTTTGAATGAATTGTACTGGACATCTGGGTCACTAAAATTTTACTCCCATTGTCTTTGGATGTCTGTAGTGCAATATGTGATCGCAGAACGCCAATTTTCTGTTCTTCAATGTTTTCTTACATTGTTGATATATTAAATATACTTTACCTCAAACTTCTATTGTTTTCAGTTTTAGAATTAACATGATTTCAATCTGGTGCAAAGTTTCCTTTGCCGGTCAGTTTTCATGTGGACCTAATGTTCAAGATGATTCGCGATAGACGTCCAAGATATTTCTTTATGAAACCTTCACCTGACGAATGGATCTATAATGGTCCCGAAACGTTGTGTGGGAAAGACTAAAGAATCTTAAATCCATAAAAAATATCTTGGATATCATAACGTTGCAGCCATGGATCAAAGTCTGAAAACGATGAAGTGTTCTAATTATCTCTTTGTCTCCAGTTCGGGTGAGTAAATCCCAAAGTTCCTCGCCAAACGACCTTGTCTGGATCCGAGCAGAAATACAGTTGTTATTGTAGGATGTCCTTTGCAACAAACCTACACACAGATGTGGCCACCTTGCCTTGTCAAAGCTGTCTTTCAAGTACATTCCATGAAATATCACAACTGTGACTTACCGGCTCATGATGAAATTAAGCCATAGTGTAAAGAAGTATGCTATGAAGACACACGGCAAAATGTAGGGATGCAGACAGCCTACAAAACATACATTTTGAAAATGTATTTCTCATTTTTAAATCCAGATTTGAATTTCCCACTGTATCAGTCAGGTGGCCAGAGGAGGTGCGTTTCCATAGAAACAAGCATGTGAGTGCGTTAAACGTTTCAGACAGACTGCGAAAATGACCCCATCCCCACTCCATGCTGTGCAGGGCTAGGGTTATACATTTATTTGACGCTGACATCACCATGTTGAAGATTTTGTTTTTAAACATAAGTAATATTTGAAATTTCACGTATGCTAATCAAATTAATTTCTCTAGTCATCAAAATATAGTGAAATGTTTGTCAGACGTTTACTATAAGGCACATGTATAGTCTAGTAGTAAATTCCAAGGTTAACCCTTGACATCACCATTCACCCAAAGCCGCTACAGTCATGAGCAGATAACATCTACACTGCTGAGGAGTAGCCAAAGAGAGACTAATTGGAAACCCATGGGGTTTGTATAGGTTTAATGGGTGAAGGCATGAAGTTTCGCCTGATTTTCCATTGAATATGATCAGGAACGTCTCTGTTGTGTTCTAACTGACTGACAGTTCCTACAATATCAGCAAACAGTTCTGCAATTCCGACGAGAGCTAAGCACAGGCATTGGCGTCAAACGGCTGACAAACAGACATAACATGACTCTTTCTGACTGGGAGA